CACGATATCCTATAAGCGATGATATCTTAACGACCGAGACCAGATTTTGTCCGCACATGATTACCATTAGGTATTTAGAGAATGTTTTTGTTTTAAAGAATCACTTGCAATTACCTTGTCTAATTTTGCATGCCTGTACAGAAATCTGTTCTACTTAATTTTTGACCTTGGATTTGTTTTCGTGTAGTTTAAGTCCGAGTTGAGAATAAAGCTTAAATACATTTCTTCCATTATTTAAATGAAACTTACTACAATAATTTATGAAACAATCAGAGTCAATGAACAATGAATCTCAAAAGATACATGTATGTACGTTTGCTCTGAAATCGGTATCAAAAAGAGGTCATCCACTCATGTTCCTAAACACATAAAAAAAACACTCAAAATCTTGATTCATCTCTTTTTTCAATTTCTTTTTTTTTAACAAAAGATTTAAACAAAGTATTGTTCTTAGTGTACTAATATAGGGTTATTGAACTTATATTGGTGAATATTGACACAAGTTGGCTGTACAAATGCACGAGCTTGAGAGTCCATTTGTACAGCCAACGAGTGACAATATTCACCAATATAAGTTCAATAACTCCTTTATTATAAATCTAAAACATTTTCTCATTATATGATATAAATGTTTTAAATAAAATTAATCAATTTTAACTAGATTTGTTGAATTCTGGTTTTTACAGTACAAATGTTCAATATCAGCATATATTTACATTTGCTGATGTCTTTCCTTATATAACAATGCTAATAAAATTGAAAATTCAATTTTCAATGACATGCAGTTGGTCACATGATCAGACTTTCTTGAGTATGAAAAGCAAACTGCACGAGATATTTGGAAAATTCAAATTGTGACGTCACATGACGTCGTAGATACGTTATGTTGCATTTCCAAAGGAAAGTCTAAATAGTGCCTATATTTCTTTGTAGCATGACTAAAAACGTCTAATATAGATATAAGAAATAAAATTTCATTTTTAGAGTTTCATTGGGTATAACATGAAGTCAGGACGTGATCAAATCTACTATAACGCCCTTACTCCAGTGAGACTCTAATAATGATATTTTATTTCTTAACTGTGTTAACTTAACAAGTGTTCAATATTTTGTCATTCTGATCTTCCTGTTTTGCATCAATTTTCTAATTGAGCCATTTAAAAAAACAAAAAACTTTTAAGGCTTTACAAAAATTTTCAATTAATTCAGTTTCGTTTGTAAAAAGAAAAACTTTCCCATGCTGCCAGTACCCAGAATAAAACCCAAAAAACTACATCATATATAGTTGTTAAATTTTATCAAATAACAATTTGCAAGATAACAAGAAATCGAACATATTCAACAAATGTAACATGAAAACAATGATAAATATCACAGATATCAACTATCAAACAAACATCTGAACACTTGAATCATGTACCATTTGAGATATCACATATCTATGCAACAAAGAAAATATTACATATGAATGATGGAGAAGTAACAGTTATATGATAAATTCATTTTTGAATTCCCTGGACCATATTTACACTGATGTTGAAGGTGCAATTATTGAGAATAGTCCCACTTCCAAACAAATTTAATAATGTCCCTTTTCCAAGATTATTGAGAGTAGATGGAGAGCATTGGGGGTCATCCTTGTCCATAACATCTTTAATTGGATTTTGTTCAACAATTTCTTTCTCCTGGGTGGTTGCACCTGCAGCAAACGGCTTGACTACAACCTTTGATGTTAGAATATCAGACATCATTATCTGTTCATCATCAGACAGACCATCATATGACTCCCGTGTGTGAGTACTTTTGTGGCCAGTTACGTGCTTAATCTTGTCCCATACAACTCTCGCTGTCTTAAGTGCCTTAACACAGGTCTTTCGAACGCTGTGATTAGTTTTGTGTTCTATACCACATTCCTTGGCAGCCATTGACATCAGTTTCCCAAGATAATTTTCTCCCATTGCTTTTGGATAAAACCACTTTTCAGCACCTGGATCAATTTGGGTCTCGGGTATACATGTCAGATAAAAAGGTCTATTTTGTGTATTGCCCTGCTTTGGACGGCGAGCTACAAAGAGGTCAACTGGATCTCTGTCTGTTGTGGTAGCATAGAGTCTTGGTTTTGCTTTATGCATATTTTCTTTACCTGTTCCATCTCTAGTTTTTGTAAGCCTTTCACTGAATTCAAGATATTCTCCATCAGACACCGGGTTAGTATGAAGCTCAATGTCACCAAAACATACTTATCTGTGTTCGTGTCTACTACGTGGTCCAATCCATTCGGTAAAAAAAATACCATTGGGAAAATTGTAGCACTCTGGGAGACTTGTCCCCCAACTGTCCCTTCTCCCACATCATGTTTTCTTCTTTTACTGTCACAGCTCGTGATGCATTAGGTTTCTGACCTTTATCCGCTTTTCTCAAGGCTTATTTTTTTGGCATCTAATGTTCTACTTGACAGGGAAAATTCCCTTTCCCTGACACTGTAGTCCCTGTCATGATCTTTGAGATACCTATCTATACTGCACTTCACTGACTGAAGGGAGCCCGGTTGGTATTCATTCCAATCTTTCTTACGAATGTCAATGTAAAAATTGCACAATAAAACGTCCAATTCGTTAGTTCGGGGTTTTTCAATTAGCCGAAATTGAGGTGCGTGTTTGCTCTGCTCCTATTTTGTATTGTTTTATGCAATTTGATATTGAATACTGTTCGTTATCTCCATATCTTTCATTGAAGCTCTTTTTACTCTGTTTGGAGATGCGAGTAAACTATCACGTTGTCAAGGCATTGGTCTATTGCAAGCAGTCTTTCATGTCTATTTTAATATTCTGTCCTCTCAAATTATGATTGTCAGTGCCAATTTGTTCCGGTATCCGGTATTTGCATAGTACCTTTACGAACGCATGTCAAAAAGGGGCAACTTCAGCATCCCAATCCTAGTGTCTTATTGGAATGATACTTTTTCATTTATTTCCATAGTGAATCTGTATTGTCTGTGGCAAACGTAGCCGTTTCAATGCACCCTTTATTAATCTTCTCTTCTGCACATAAATATTTCTGAAGCATCACCTTTGCCTATCGATTGCAAAAAACTTTCCCTTTTTACCAATTTAACTCTCAGTACTTCTTTCAAGTGAACAGCATGTCTATCTTATTTTTCTTGGAATATAACTTTCTGAAAATTCCAATAGAACTATTCAATAGATGGAATACGATGAATTTTCAAATATTTCTTCCTATTATTCCTTCTCAAGCTCATATTTTCACCAAAAAGCAATTTCTGGCTATGTCTTGACCAAAAAAGCAAAATTTTATCCCGACGTAAAGACGAAAAAGACAGACATCCCACAGTAAAATCCCTCCTTTAATTCAAATAATAATACATTAAAGATGCTCCTCACTGAGTAATTTATAAATTGTGATGAATTTTGCATTCATAAAGGTATGATTGAAATTTTGTGTAGGCGTTTTCTCGTTTATCATTATAGAGACTTTTTTGTCCCGCTGATCACACTCCTTGTCTTAATGTTTTGCTTGCTACAATTTGTTGCCAGTTAGTTGTTTAGTTTGAAATCTGATCATACACGTTGTAAACAATATCAGTTTCGAATGCATCTGTCTGCCCCCTTCAAATTGTTACAAGTTCCGTTTTAATTTCAATTTCATTCTCTGTATACTAGCTCCATTAAAAGTGATTAAGTTGTCTTTTCCTTTTAATATTCTTTCTCCGTTTGCTTATGCAAATTAGAATTTTAACAAGATGCCTTTCCCTTTTCGGTTTTTTTTTTCGTTTGCTGTGTTAGAGTTGTTAAAAGTTGTCTTTCCCTTTCAATGATCCCTCAAGACGTATTTAATGACCAGTTGGCTTGGCATTGTCTTTGTGTAATAATTACCAAAGCATTTTCTTGATGTCCAGCTTTGAGTTCGAGACCGATCTTATATGTAAGACAGAATTAACATGAAACAAAAACAGAGTTGTAAAAAACGGAGTATTCAATGTTGATGTTTCTTTGCATCAAGATGGATCTATAATTTGTGAAGAAAAATATCGTGATCGGCATTCTTTATTATCATCATGATATTTTCCAAGTGCATATGCGTAAATTTCAGGCCTTGTAGATAGTTCACTGTACAAACAAGGTTTTTGTATTTCACGAATACTATTATGAACTCTTTCAGAATATAAATTCGTAAACATTTAATCAGGACTTTGTCTCTGCAACATGTATCTCCCCTCATAATATGTTACGTACTATTCTAGATCAATTTCCATGTTGAGTTGTAAATTTTCAGCTATATCGCTATCTTGAGTATTTATATTATTACATGGTGAAAAAATCTATTTTCCACGTAAGGAACAGATTCTTTGCAATTCAAATGATTTGACGGATCTTCAAGTAACTCATTTTCTAGCTAACGCGTATAAAATTTTATAATTTCTTGTACTTCATGTGTATTCATTTTTATTTTATTTCCTGTTTGAATAATAATGAACAAGATGCAAGAGTTTGAATCCCTTTACCCATTTTGGCCGTGCATCTGTTGTTTATTACAAAGCAAACAAAGACATGGTCCAGTTAAGGGTTATCGGAACTGCGTTGATTTCTTTCAGCTGATGTTTTCGAACCATTTAAGACCTATTCTTGATTCTATCCGTGTACAGGAGAACATTTCAATACATTAATTGCAGGACATTAATGTTGTTTAAAGCTTTTTCCCTGTCTCAATTTTCCTTTTGTTGTAATTGAATACATTCATTCAATCATTCATAAAGAAATTGTCCTTATAGAAGTATGATAAATATTTACAAATGTAAATAACGCTCTGGAATATTCTGTCAATGTTCATATAAGTGAAGGATTACAGGTTATATCAATTATGGAATCAGTATTGATACTTGTAATTCAAAGTTTCTGTACCGGCCTTTGGCTGTTAAGAGATTCCTCTTACGTGTGTAGCAGATTACCGGTACAAGATATTGACTTTTCTGTGTGTATAATTCGAATATCAGCATACATTTTTAACCATCTTCCCTATTTATATTCTTTTCTCATAGTCAACCATATTCAATGAGGAACTTGAGATTGGAGGTATCTTTTATACAAGGTTTCAAACTGAATCCACAACAAAACATTCATAGCATATGTATTCATTCAAATTTCTTCCATGTTGTTGGTTACAGTTGCTGTTAATAGTATAAAAAGGGAAGTTCGACTGGTTTTCATATAAATATTTTCCACATATCATGCATATATTTCTGTTCTGCATATACACATGCAACAATTATCACATATGTCTAAATATAGCAGATACTCCCCCTCCTTATTTTTAGATGGTGAACTTTATGACAAGGATCATCTATATTTTTCAAGTGCATAGGCATCAACTTTAGGCCTTGTAAATAAAAAAAATACACAAACGATGCTTTTAAATTTCATGATGAACTCTGAAAATATAGTATATCATAGGATTGTCTACCTTCGTTATCTGCCATCTTCTATTCTCTTCAAATAAAGATTCGCACTACAGTTCAGACCATATAATCAGTTTTGATACATGCAACACGATCGATCTGTCTCTACAGGCCTTGCGCTGATTTAGAAATTCTCTTAAAGGTGTAGCAGATGATTCTGTGCGAATTTCTGTTATATCAATATATTTTATAATCATCCTTCCAATTCACATTTACTGAACATGATCAACCATATTCCATGTAGAACAGAGGTGAGGAGAAACTTTTATGCAAGCTTTCAAACTGAAGCCACAGCGAAACATTCGATCATAGTTCATGCAGTCATTGGAATTTCTTCTTTATAGTTGTTGGTACTTGCTATTTAATCATATAAAATGATTAATTTGGTAGGTTTTCTTTTCGTTTCAATTATTTTTATCAGTGGATTTTATTTCAGTCTATATGGTTACATGTACAACTGCTATGATGTACAAATTAAGCAGTTGTCCTTACAATTATCAACAACAAAGGTCTTTGTTTGATACTGACTTTTTAAAGGTATTTGATGTATGATAAGTAATCATAAACACACGAATAACGTGTTTAAAACATGTTTAAACCTGTTTTACTTTTTTTCTAATTAGAGTTCATACCTCTAAAACCCGAAACTTTTTAATATTCTAGATGATGTTTTCTTTCATTTCATATTTTACCATTAGCCTATTTTATCTACCTACCGGCTTATGTAAGTTTTTACTTTTATTACCTTTAAAATTGATCTGCACAAAGTATCATTGAATTTTATTTTTTGGAAAACAGTTGCTTTTTAAATTTCTCCTACAATTAAGTATAATGTCACTTCCAACTCACCTCTATACCCTCTTTTCAAATGCATCGTTTTCTTAATCCTTAGCAAAATCCATAAACCTGCATTCAAAATGACCACGGCAAGAGTCAGGAGTAAGAAAAGCTTCAAGCTTTTTCTAAAATATAAGTACATGAATTTTATTAAATTTCTTGTTTGCTTGTCAAAACTAATCCTAAAGATTTAAATTTGATAAGACAACTGACACATAGTGACAATCATGTGCCATGTTCGACATAATAATATATGTACATACAGTAATATAATAATATATGTACATAATAATATATGTACATACAGTAATATAATAATATATGTACATACAGTTCGACATAATAATATATGTACATACAGTAGAAGATTATAATATAATAGGCATTGAAAAACTGTATAAGAATGACATTTACCGCAAATATAGAGAAAATCTTTGGAAGAAAAAGTTGAACACTTATATACCATTTGGTATTAACAAAAGGGAACACTTCTGTCTTTGAATTGGATTTATGAACATTTGTGTGACATTGTATACTTATTTTTACAGATATACTTTTATATATACTTTAAAATCATCTTTTTAATATACCCCGTATTCTAGTATTTTATTCTGTATGATAAAAATTTTGATACACAAGTACAATTTTTGCTCTCACAATATTTTCAGATGTTTTTGGCGCAATTTTAGTGCATGACGTTGCCTCTCAATTTCTATGTTCATTGTGACGTCATAATACTGTTGAGTTGCTATGCATTTAAATAAACACGACTGATGAAGGCCGGTGACACGGCTGAAATATTTCGAAAAGTGTTTTAAAGTTTTTTATTATATATATATATATATATATATATATATATATATATATATATATATATATATATATATATATATATATATATATATAGTTATAGTTATTATTACTATCAGCAAAAAGTGCTCTATCAGTTATGATTATGCTCCCTGTCAGGTGCAATCTATTATCGAATAGTGCTCAAAGGATTTATATAGCAGACACAAACTTTGCCGAAATAGTGCACGGCTTCATTCTTGGAGGACACTCCGATATCACCCAAGCCTGGGATCTAACTCACAACTACGAGATTGTCAGTCCGAAATGCTACATATATAGCCATGGAGGCCGTTTACAATAAAATTTTATTTTTATACCCAAATCTGGATACTTTTACTATCTTCAGGTAGAGTAGATGCACATTTGACAAAAATGATATTCGGGATAGGATTGGGTTAGTTTTGGCAATAAGATTTTTACATAAGTACTGTATATGTATACAAAACATTGAATCTTTCAAATCATTAAAAACTCACTTGATTTCCTCTTGGGAGCCTGTTTTTGGAGAGTTAGTTTCTGTAGCATTATTTTTTGTGATGTTTTTGCTCTGTGTGACAAAATAGTAACATTCTTGATCTATAATTGATAAAATAGAAATGAATACAATACTATATATTATCATACATGTAACAATAACTAGATCCGAATAGCCATATCACGTCGAGTTGACAGACGCGGATCATCTGATCAAATGAGACGCGAAGTGATTGAAATTTGTGATACACAGTTGGGTATATGATAAAGAAAATTGGCTAACTTTTACTTAAGTGGTCCTCCAGCAGGTTTCCATATTCATCGAAGCTGTGCTCTATGTAGATAAGTATGTGATGTCTTTCGTTAATTTATGTTTTATATTTATCAGCTTCCTCGAATGATAAAGCAGTCTGTTGTTGATCATTTAAGCAGTATATGTACATACGCTAGTTCCAATGTCAGAAATTTAATAAAATCTTAATTTAACCTGATTGTAGTGATATATGACATTACATTTATATGCTTCTGTTGATGAATACACAGGTGGGCAGGGAATTTTATCCGTCCCACAGCCTGCATCCAAACTCTCCTGAATTATGTTCCCAACAAGATTATACTCTGCACACATTTTCCCTGCATAAAAATAAGACAAAATCTTGTTGTGTTCCATGAAAATGAAGTATTTAAAAAACTATTCCTATGAAAACAAATTGTGGCATTTCACATACCATAAATTCGCTTAACAGGAGCACAAACGCGGATAAATCCGGTTAGTTTTGTGTTCAAAACACAATGATAAACGAAATCATGTGATTCAACACATGTTTGATGAATTGATGAACAATTGACTTTCTCCGCTTCTATCATCCACTCCAAGTGATTTCTGGGACATCGGCTTATCTTCTTTACTGTTGTTTCTGAGGCCAAACAAGGCATGGACTCAAAATGAGGAATAAACTGTCATAGAAATGATTCATTCATACATCTTTAATATGTAGAAAATTTAAATTTTGGACGTAATATACGTCCACCAAAAATCCTGAAGAAGTGCAGTTAAAATATTCATTTAAAAATATATTACATCAAAGCAACTTGAAACAAATCAATTACTTCACAGATGTCCGTATTTGTAGACTACGAATGAAAATTAAAGTTTCTATTTTTTCAGGATATTTATTATTTATCCAATCTTAAATATACAAGCCCTAGGTCAAAGTCAGAGGTAGCCTTTGAAATATGATTTAAAATGATTAATTATCTGACTATAAAAGTACATTCATTTCGGAAACATGAAAGGAGTATGGTTAATCAAATTTAATAACACTTCTAGAACACAAAATTTAAAAAAAATGATTAAATAAATAAAAAAAAATAACCAGGGACTGGATTGAAAGTTTAAGTAACTGAGTAACTTTTTATCTTTCTTAACATTAAGCAATGTTCAAGATTTTTAAAAACCATACTTATTAGCAAAAAAAAAAAAAAGAGAAAAAAAACATAAACACACAAAAAAAAAACATTTATACTGTTTCCAAAACCCCCATGTATTTACTTATTGAGCTTGATACATTTTTGACCCGTGATAATCATGATAATAGCTTGGTATTATTTACAAGAGGCCTTGGGAACACAGTGCTTTAAGATTCGTTCTTTTATCTTCAGAAGATTAAAAGACCAACTTCATAACGAGATTACCTATAATCAGATTTTGTTATTATGTTCCCCAAACGAAGTTGGGGAACATATTGTTTTTACTCTGTTTCTTATTATGTTCCCCAAACGGAGTTTGGGAACATATTGTTTTTACTCGGTTTCTTATTATTATTATTATTATTTTTTTTTTCTTATTTGTTCTCCGGTACTTTTTTGTCCGCGAGTGTTCTCAGAAACTGTTCACCCAACTGACCTAAAACCTTTTTAGGGTTAATAGGTGTGTAGTGTAGTTGTGCGGAACGAAGGTCATTTTGCGCGCATACGCCTGCACGTGCGTGCGCGTGAAATGAGTGAATTGACTGATATACTTAATATAGCTATAACTTTTACATTTTTTGATGAAATGCTTTGAAACTCATTACATAAGGATACATTAATAGTGTTAATAGTATGACACTGTCAAATTAGCACGAACTCACGCGCATGCACGTGCGCCTTGCTCTGATTGGCTGAAACAAAAATCTCAATATCTCTTATGTTTTCCGACGAATTGCTTTGAAATTTTTAACATTGTCATGAATTAGGGTATCCTACAACATGATATGGAAAAAATTTCATGAAATAACGCGCATGCACGTGTGCTGCAATCTGATTGGCTGAAACTTTAAATGGCTATATCTCCTTTGTTTTTTGACGAAATGCTTTGAAATTTAAAACATAGTCATGCATCAAGACATCCTGCAATATGATATATAAAAAAATTCAAGAAATCACGCGCATGCACGTGTGCTGCAATCTGATTGGCTGAAACTTTAAATGGCTATATCTCCTTTGATTTTTGATGAAATGCTTTGAAATTTAAAACATAGTTATGCATCAAGACATCCTGCAATATGATATATAAAAAAATTCAAGAAATCACGCGCATGCACGTGTGCTGCAATCTGATTGGCTGAAACTTTAAATGGCTATATCTCCTTTGATTTTTGATGAAATGCTTTGAAATTTAAAACATAGTCATGCATTAGGATATTCTACAATATGATTTAGAAAAAAAATCTTGAAATCACGTGGATGCACGTGTGCTGCAATCTGATTGGCTGAAACTTGAAATGGCTATAATTCCCTTGGTTTTCAACCAAACAGGATGGGATTTAGAACATAGATAGATATAAGGGCCTCTAACAAGAAGGTATGGTCATCATGCACGTGCACGCAGGTGCGTGCATTTGGAATGAGTGAAATTAAAAATACACTTGAATGAGTGATTTTTTAATACTTTTGGACTAAATGCTTTAATATTAAGTATATTTAAATATATAGAAAGTGTAGACAAGATTATATGATCATTATGCACCGCATTCACATGGGCACGCATGCAATGTTAAAATTTGAATATAATTGGTATCCTTTTGGTAAAACGTTGTTAAAGTAAAAAATGCACAGATGTTGTGTTATTTAATTAGGCTTACAGGGAATATGGCACCAAAAGGGAGTTGAGGAGCGTTTGGGGAACATCTGTAACGGTTCCCGTTACAATTAGCACTAGTTATTATTATTCTTATTCTTATTATTATTTTTCTTCCTGGGAAAATTTTGTCCGCGAGTGATCTTGTAAACTACACATCCGACTTAGGTGAAACCTTTTTAGGGTAAGTAGGCATGTTATGTAGATTTGCGGAATCAAGGTCATTTTGCGCGCACGTGCTTGCAAGAGCGCGCACGTGCAAAACTTAAAATGACCAATATATAATGGATATAACCGTAACTTTTCTATTTTGTGACGAAATGTTTTGAAACTTATAATGTAAGGATATATTAGTAGTATGCACAAGATGACATGGTCAAAGTAGCAAGATCGCACGCGCATGCACGTGTGCTTCGCTCTGATTGGCTGAAACTAAAGTCTCAATATTTTTTTTGTTTTTTGATAAAATCATTTGAAATTTTGAACATAGTCATACATTAGGGAGATCTACAGCCTGTAATATAAGATTTTTCATGAAAGCATGTGCATGCACATGTACTTGCAAGAGCTCGCACGTGCAACACGAGAAATGTCCAATATAATTGATACAGACGTAACTATTAAAATTATTGATAAAATACTTTGAAACTCATTTTATCATTATATATAAGTAGTATGCACAAGATGACATGGTCAAAATAGCAAGATCGCACGCGCATGCACGTGTGCTTCGCTCTGATTGGCTGAAACTAAAGTCTCAATATCTTTCTTGTTTCTTGACGAAATTCTTTGAAATTTTGAACATAGACCTACATTATGAAGATCTACAGCATGATATATAAGAATTTCATCAAAGCATGCGCATGCCCGCGTGCTGCAATCTGATTGGCTGAAACTTTAAATGGCTATATCTACTTTGTTTTTTGACGAAATGCTTTGAAATTTAAAACATTGTCATTCATAAGGATATCCTACAATATGATATAGAAAAAAATCAGGAAATCACGCGCATGCACGTGTGCTGCAATCTGATTGGCTTAAACTTGAAATGGCTATAACTCCCTTGTTTTTCAACCAAACAGGATGGGATTTAAAATATAGATAGATGTAAGGGACTCCTACAAGAAGGTATGGTCATCATGCACGTGCACGCACTTGCGTGCATTTGGAACGAGTGAAATGAAAAATACACTTTAAAGAGTGATTTTTCATACTTTTTGACTGAATGCTTTAATATAGTATATTAAAATATGTAGATCGTGTAGACAAGATGATATGATAATAACAAACATGCATTCACATGCGCACGGGTGCAATGCTAAAATTTAAATATAATTGGTATTCTTCTGAGAAAACGTTGTTAAAGTCAAAATGCACAGAGTTTGTCTTATTTAATGAAGCTTACATGGAATATGGCACCAAAAATGAGTTGGGGAGCGTTTGGGGAACATCTGTAACGGTCCCCGTTACAATTAGCACTAGTTATTCTTGGGTTTAAAAAGAATATACATCAAAGAATGTGCTAGCACAGCGTAGCCTTATAATGAAATACTGTATCCTTGTAAATATCTTGAAACAGGTTTTAAAATCAAAACAAATATTCACACTCTACATGAACATAGAAAATGCTGAATTCTTTCTTTATCAACCAATATAACATAAATGGTAAAATAAAAAGAAAAGTACGTATGCCTTGTTCACACGGAGAGTTTAATTCGAATTAAACGCAAGTTACAGCGAATTAAATTTAGACCGCGTTCACACGGGGAGTTTAATGCGAAAAAGTTTAATTCGAATTACTAGTAATTTATTGCGCATTAAATAACTTCATATTAGCTCCGTCGGAACGCTAAGCGAATCTAATTTGAACTAGAGGTGCTGTGAGCGATGAGCTCACTAAATGATACCCCCCGCCTCCCATATGGTTATAACTGGTGAAAAAGTCCATGTTTTCCTGTGGCCGGGAAACCCAAAATATGTGTCGGATCAAAAAGTAAAATAGGAGGTGCACAATGCAATATGTAATAAAGATTCTGTGGAAGTTGCATCAAATTTCATTCAGTGGCATGAGAGGAGTTGCGGATAAGAGATGGGTACCCCAAAGCGTAACAGACGGACGGACGGACAGACGTACAGACGGACGGAATTAACGATTACTATATACCCTCCCGCTTTTCAAGCGGGGGGTATAATTAAATTTAGAGGTATGCTTAATGACAAATTTAAGTCAATTGCCACATGTCGGTGATCAGCTTTAAGTACTACTGTTGTACAACTATTGTTGAGTGAAAATCAAAGGAAAATAGTGTTAATCACTAATATGTGTGTACAGACTCTTTGACATTATGTCAAATGCATTCGCTTCTGCATAAGGTGACATGATTTGCAAATGACGTCATAATAGCCTTACTTAAGCCTGACTGTAGAAGTAAAATTTTAATTCGCATTAGTTAACTTCGCATTAGCTGTCGTGTGAGCGCAATTTAATTCGTATTTGTTTGATTCGCAATAGTTTACTTTGCATTAATTCACTGTGAATTAAACTCGGAGTGTGAACAGGACATAAAATTTGCCACAAAAACAGTTGTCGTGACCATATTTAATGAACCAAATGACAACTTTTATGTCCGATGCATTGACTTTCTTTGCATTACCGGTAGTCGAACCTTCCGTCAGATTGAATGTTACCTAAACTTTAAAAGGAAACTGACTTATTTTTTGTGACATTTGTTATAAATTATTTGTTGCGACTCATGTGGTGTGATTAAACTTTAGAAAAGGATAAAATTTTCCACTATTTATACTATTAAATAGATGGCGATAACGAACAGTATTCAAGAACAAAAGTCCATAAAACAATACAAAATAAGAGCAGAGCAAATACGGACCTCCAAAACATCAGAGGTGGGATCAGTTGCAAGGGAGGAAGGAGCATCCCCTGCCGATCAGTCATATCCACCTTGTGCTCCTTGTTATGACCGGGAATTAACGGGAAAATCCATCGTCAATTCAGTGTATAAATAATGGACTAACAATCAGTATGAAAAACGTCAGTCAGTATTTGACTCAAAGACAAATTGTATTTGCTGACAAGGTCATTGTATTGACCATATAACTTACGAAATGATGACTTTAAACGAGTCTGCTGATATTTCTGTTTCATCCACTTGTTTGTCAATAATTTACATCGTTTTAGAAATCGTACTGACATAGAGCATGCATTTGTCTGTCGAATCAGCTGAGATATTAATTCTGTATTCAGGAGATGTAGGGAGAGGTATATTGATGCATAAGTACATGGGAAGTTGACGATTGAAGAGTTATAAATTCATCACGTTTAATAAAGAGTTTTTTGCTAGATTACCATTAACGTCTTTTTTAACTAAAATATTCAAATATAAAATTGATGTGTCATGATTAGACTCTATTGTATCTTTAATCTCAAGCTCACCGGGATATATCGTATCGACATAAGAATGGTTACAGTATTAACTATAATTTATCTAGAAAATATCGTCGATTTACTGTATCTAAATGTCGATATAAAGTCCACAGCAGGTGTTTCCTTCTTTTCACGTATAAGATTTTGCACAAATTCTGTTTTACATTGTATATGATTACAAAAAAAAATGTCTGCTTATATGAATTAAAAAATAGGCCTGCTAATAACGTGGCGCAATTGGTACCAATTGAATTTCCAACAGGTTGTTGGAACAACGATTCCTAACAAAATATATTAAAACTAGGCTTTTTTTTAAATTACAACTGAATGTTTCTGCAATCAAAATTGGCGAAGGAAATGTCTGATTGATCAGCAACAAAATTCTTTGTTAAAATCCACTCCTATTCTACACACAAGTACTCTAAACGTGATAATAAACGCATAGCTGAGTTCCTAATTAACGACGTATATATGTATTCTTTGGAGGCAATGTCTTCCAATAAATTGTTGGCATTCCGATCGGCACTCTGCTTTATTTGCTGCATCTATTTTTATTACAAACCAAGATTATACAAGTTATACAAAAACTTTTACATGTTCATGACAAAAAGAAACGTTTGCTGTGGCCTTCAACTCCACATTTTGATAAAATGAAGATGCATAAATCAATTAACAATAATCTATATTACCTCAATTCATATAATTATGTCGAATCAATATATCTGAGCAAACTTGAAATAAAAAACACAGAGTCTGCCACATTTTTTTTTCATATTTGAATGCTTCATGGCTATAGAAAATAAAAGCCAGCTAAAAATTAAAGTGTATCACAAATGAGATTATTTCATCTTTTCAAAGTTCAATTTTCCTTATCTGTGTAGAAATATACTGTTATTCATGGGTATGATGTTTATTTTTTACTTTTTCGATACTCAAGACGCTGTTCTACGTACGATCAATTTTTAAACTGAGGCGAGCTACTTATAGATAAGTTGATATTACAGGATTTCAACAACCGTGTTTTTTAAAAGTAAGTATTTCGTGAATACTATGGTCGTTATGATTATCTGTTGACAAATAAAACGTATAATAAGTCGTACTTTGACTGACTTTTCATACAGACTGTTATGCATTTCTTTTTATACTAAATTTGACTAAAGAATGTTTTTTTCTACCTGATCACAACATTTTGCTTACAGCTACAACGGATGCGACAAGTGGACAATGGATGCTTACTCCTCCTTGTCACCTGTTTCCATCTATGGAATTTCTATTAGGTTTTTATTTATGCCCTCTCCGTAGTTTTGTATTTCTTATAGATTTTTTTTATTGATCGCTGTTCGTTATTTTCATCCGGGGGGGGGGGGGGGGGGGGGGGGCTGTAATCACAGAAAAAAGATCTTTTGACAAGCTAAAACAAAGGTTTCTAGGGTCCTCACGGCTCCAGTTCAAACGACCATGTTATGAACTTTATTTTAACTCCAGCCAAGTGTGTCGAGTATTTTCATGCATTCCTTAAATAGGGAATGTTATACAATTACGTATTCTTTTGGTGTTGGATATGGTTTGTTATTCACCAGAAAATTGACCGATGTAGTTCGGATTTGAATCAATAAGACATTAAAGGCTGCATGACGACACCATTTTCATTTGCAAACTTCCGTCGTTGAAATAAAAAAGAATGTCTCTAGATTACAGTTTTCTAACCTTCTTGCTTTCCTTTCTAAGTTTCACTATGTGTAAGACGTCCAAATGATTAAAAAATCTCACGATAGGTTTATCTAACATTTTTAAATTTCTGTTCATAATCAACATGTATATAGCTGGCTGCAGCCGTTGCCACCAATGTTTACAACATTGTTTAAGGTTTTAATTGTGACCTCACAATGCCGTTGCAAGCACACTGACCCTCCGGTGAATACGGTCTAAAATCCGGTGAATGTGTAGTGTTATGAACTGTTGGCGTTTGTATAGATTATATAGGGATTATAAATATACTTAATAGTTAAGTACACGTTACATGTAGGGAAATGGCCAAATCTGGCCCCTTATTTGACGTAAAAATCAGAATACTGGTAAAGTTGTGATACTTTCTAGTTAAGAACTTAAAATGATGCCTGCTTTAAACCGAGCACTACTGGTAATTCGGATTCAAAGCTTACATAGAAGCCACTAGAGGGTTCAGAAGTAGTATCGAATTTTGTCAATTCTCGTAGAATTTCATCACATTTGAGACATTTTTCTCTTCAGAAAACATAGAGCACAACCTTTCCTATCTGAGTTTTTACACATTAACTGCATCTGATACTAGTTGATTAAATATATAAATTTGGTAGATAGACAAGCCAGTGTTCTATGTTTTCTGAAACAAAATGTGCTGTAAAATCAATGAAGATTTGCATGAAAATGAAAAATTCAAAAATTGACCTATTTTCTGCCTTCTCTGTGACCACTTTGTATTTCAAAACTAAGGACTAATGCTCATTTTGTGTCAGAGATGACAACATATCTCTATGGATAAACTGTTGCATCAATCTGAAAGACACCCAAAATCAGGGGCCAAAAACAGGTCTTACCCTATCTTGTCCTTTGATATTCACCAATATTTACATGTCATCAGAAATTCCGAGTTTAAATAAGTGTCAATGAGTCTGCATCAGTATTGGATCTAAGTTTATGAACGATAAATTAATTGCAACTAACATCCAAAGTATAATCAAATGGTTATACGTATGATGTTAAAATGCACGTGTATCTAGGTAAGCACTACGGGTCTTCCATATAAAAGCGATGTAAAAAGTAATGTAAAGACGAGAATTTTCCGATGTATTAAAAGGTTCAGTTCTTGGGTTACTAGTATGTGAAACGTGAATAAAGAAATATCAAATGAAAAACAAAATGGATAAAAATTTAAAAAAAAAAAAAAAAAAAAAAAATGATTTTAAAATGTATAATTTTTTTTATTTGTTATACTTTGCTTTTCTTTTTGTCAACACGACGAAAATTTAGTTCTTAGATTGAATGTAGTTAATTATGTCATGAGCGATACTTACATTTACATATAAAATGAGTATCTGTAACAACTTAGCTATAAAATAGGTAGGCATTTCATTTCCTGATGTTTATTACAAACTTTAATCTAAAAAATGAAAGTAATATAAAATATGTATGATTAATCATTCATAACCTTAAATATGTAACCTTTGATTTCATTTTTATAAAATTATATAAAACAAAAGGTAAAATTCGAACAGCTTGACAATGCATTATTATAGTTACTGCGTAAATTTATGCATACCTTTCATATGTTTTGATGTAGGCCATGTTTACAAACATACTAAGGACCGTCTAAAACCTAGATTGGGATACACATGACTAGGTTTCTAGGTTATCGTAAAGCCCTTCCATTCAATTACAAGAGCCAATTAGGACCTGTCGTTTTTTTAACCTCGATATAAAGGAATTTTTAATTTGTTAAACGATCGAAGTTTGAATTTGTTAGATTTTTTTTATCATCAGTACATGTAATAATGTTTTCAGATAATTTTAGAATAATTTGTTTTAACGAATTCAAATATTTGTTAAAACATGAAACATTGGGCGATAACGAACAGTATTTAAGAACAAAAGTCTATAAAACAATACAAAATAGGAGCAGAGCAAACACGGGATCAGTTGCAATTGATGAATTGGCATTCCCTGCCGACCGGTCACACCACCTTGTGCTCCTTGTCATGGTCGGAAATAACGGGAAACGATGAGAAACCGATGCGTTTTTTGATAAAAGTTGCATGGTTGCAGGCCGGACACATATAAGTAATGGGACGGTGACTTAGGCCATTTGGCGAATCGGTTGGGGTCATCGATAGAAAATAATTTGTAGTTAAAAATCGGCGATGTCACAACCGATGTCCCAACTCGCTCCTCATCGGCAACCCATCATTAACACATCTTTCAAGGATTGACCGATGTATGACCCAGCATCGTTAAGTTTCCTTTGAATCTGAGGTTATCGAGGGGTTGAGTGGTGGGCAACAGACATCGACCGTTCATTGGTCGATGTTCAACCAAACATTGCTCCATAGTCTACCAACGTAGACACGATGTTCACCAATGTATGAACGATGTAATATACACATACATCGGCCGATTACCCTCGTTTTATGATTAGCAATACATCTCCGGGCCTTTGTAAGTCCGTTCCGCAACCACGCCATTTTTATCAAAAAACGCATTGGTTGCCCACGGTATACCCATGGCTGGATAATGTAACTGATACTTTGATGAGTACTAGGCCAATGTGGACCGATGTTGGGGCATTGCTCACACCACGGATAACCACCGATCACCACCGGTCTACGGCCACCGGCAGGAAATAATCGGACATAACTATGTGTTGCTTTCCGTCGTTTTATTGAATAAATGACTTTTTTCACTTTCAATACCGCTGTTATTTTTTTTTCTTTTAATTAATCAAAAATCTCGTTCAGTTGACTTGGTTTCGCTCTGTAATATTCTTCATAACAGAAGGTCAGAAGTTTCATTTTCACATAAGTTCAATTTAAAGGGGTTAAGATAGGGCTTTTAAGGCAATTGCTTATCCTGCTATGTATCTATATTTAAGGATTTTTCACATAGTTTCGGAAAACAGTAGAGATAGGGTATGTCTAATTTATCTTGGTTGACTGCGATGTTTAATATTTTAAACACTGAAATGTTATTTTGAAGAATTGTGTTCTATGAGCTACTTTCACGTCTAAAAGTCTTGGATAAAATTTCAGCATATGAGTAACAAATGAACACAATACTAGTATTTGAAATGGCTTTTGATACTTTTAAAAAATAATATTACCAAGAGAAAAACTTTTTCTGTTAAGCATTCTGTAAGAAGAAGGTACGGTTTGGGCTTTATTATGCCCCCCAAAAACGAGTTGAGTAGATGAATATGAAAAAATCATTTAAGAATATGGCAAGATGAAGGGCAATTCTGGAAATATGATGCCTTCAATTTAGTACATTTCTAAGTTTGATGCAGAAAAGCCTCAGAATGACTCATTTCTATGCTTATTTTCCGGAAATAATGTGAGGCTCCGTCGTCAACTACAGTTTTTCCTTATATTATGTAAACTACTTCGAATAATCACACATCTTAAAAGCTTTGTCCGTGATGTATGTTTTCTCAGACTGGAAGAAAATTCCATTGAAAATTGATGTCTTCTGTAATTTTTAAAGAAAAAAACGGGAAAATGCACAAGTTAGCATTTAGAATGTTATATGAGAAAAAATAATTTGTGTATTCTTACTGCATGGATTTCCTATGATTCGGAAAGAAGGAATTTTAATTTCTAAGATCCCTTTCATATTTTAGAAAAATACAGGGCTAAATTTATGCTGAAACTGTACCTTGTACCTTGTTCTTTACTGTAAAAATACTCAAAAAGCTGTCTTGTAATTATTTTCTCGCAAGTTTCGATGCGTCTTTAACACTATTTTCTGCTACATGTAAGTATGACTGAAATATTGCCGATTTCGGAAAAGAAAAATAATCAAGTAAGCAATCAGTCATACTATTTGCTGTGCCTTGCTTTTCATATACTCCTGCCATAGTACTATAACGGAATTCAGGATGTGTAGTAATTTCCAGCTAGCTTATAGGTCTTGGCGGATTTGACTGTTCAAAGAAGAGCGATAAATTCTTTATTGCACCTGATTCCACAACTGATGGCTTTAGACGTCCATTTTTGTTCCGGTGTAACGACGAAAAGTGACCCCCGTAGTATATTGACCAGGGGGTCATTTTTCTACGTAGAAAAATGACCCCAGGTCAATATTCTACGACAAGTAGGGTCATTTTTCGACTGTAGAAAAACATTCCAGACCATTAATTCTACGACTCCACACACGTTGAAAAATGACCCCCATAGAAATTTGACCCCCTGCTTTTTTATACCATAAAACCTTATATCTGTGTCTCCTGATTTTTTTTTCATACTTGCAAATGTAAGTGGTTTTTTTTATGTACCCTAATCCTTTCCAACATATATTTGATTGCATATCTTAATAGTAGCATCACAATCAATGTATCTGGTATGGATTTATTTTTGGCTTGCAGAATCCCAATGAAAAACTTCAAGAGCACTGTACAACAATATATTCAAGTAGTGTGAATCAGATGTGGATACAAAAAAAATTCTAAAGAACTTTTGGACAATTTGAAATCACAAGATTTTTCCAACTTCAACAGCTTAAAAACTTGCGACTTTTCAAGTTTATACACAACCATACCCCGTAATAAATTATTGTCCAGGCTTTTTCATATCATTGACAGCTGCTTTTCCAATAAAAATGGAACTCATAAATTTACTTACCTGGTCATTGGTCATTTGCAAAATTATTTTGGTAAAACACATTCTGATTGCACACACTAGTCCTCTGAAGTTGACATCAAAAAGATGCTTGAGTTTCTGATTGACAATATCTATGTGGTTTTGGAGACCAGGTTTACCCACAATCTATTGGAATGCCCATGGGTACCAACTGCGCTCTGTTCTTAGCAGACCTATTTTTGTATTCATATGAAGCAGAATTTGTGCAAAGTCTTATACGTCAAAAGAAGAAAACACCTGCTGTGGCCTTCAACTCAACATTTAGATATATCGACGACGTAGTGTCAATTAACGATGGCAATTTATATTCCTACGTCGATACGATATATCCTGGTTAGCTTGAGATGAAAGATACTACAGCGTCTGACACATCTGTTTCATATTTGGATATTTTACTTGAAAAAAAGGTTAATGGTAATTTACCAACCAAGCTATATGATAAACTTGATGACCTTTTAAACTTTTCTATCATCAACTTCCCTTACTTATGCAGCAATATACACCTTCATCACCTGCATACTGAGTTTATAAATCTCAGTTGATTCGATACGCAAGAGCATGCTCTACGTATGAACAATTTATAAAACGAGGTAAATTATTGACAAGCAAGTTGATGAAACAATCAGCAGTCTCGTTTAAAGTAATCATTTCGTAAGTTCTATGGTCGATACAAATACCTTGTCAGCAAATACAATTTTTCATTGAGTGAAATACTGACTGACGCTTTTCGTATTAATTGTTAGTCCATTATTTATGTACTGAATTAACGACAGATTTTTCCGTTATTTCCCCATCATGACAAGGAGCACACGGCGGATGTGACCGGTCGGCAAGTGATGCTCACTCCTCCATGACACCTAATCCAACCTCTGATGTTTAGGAGGTGTGTTTGGTCTGCTCCCATTTTGTATTGTTTTATGGACTTTGATATTAAATACTGTTCATGATCTTCATATCCTTCTTCATTGAGGAGCATAAATTTATGATAAGACTTTTGGGGGGGGGGGGGGGGTTATCATTCAAAGGTTTTGTTCCGAAAATGGTATGATAAGTTTCTGATAACCATAAACTTTGAAAAAAAATTTACAAATCCAAAAACATAGGCTAGAAGCAAAAAAAGCAACGTAATTAATTATTGAACTACATGTATATGAATTCCATTCCCTTAGCTTTTACCTTTAAACTTTCATATACATTTGTATGCATTCTTTAACTACCTTATATAAGGTACTATAAGGCACTATACTTTTTCCTGTATATGCGTGGAATACCATACACATAAAGAACGTTCTTATGATATTTAAAAAAAGCTCTAAAACTGGCAAAAATCTGAGATTTAAGACGCTAACTTTCTAAATACGAATGAACTCTTAGTCTATCATGCCATTACTTCAATATCTAAAGTCCTAGCCTATACCGTCCAAAAGTTAATGCAAAGTAAAAGTTTTAAATTTTTGTGTAAAAGTGTGTAAAACTCCAAGGTGAAAAGGTCAAAATTGGTTGTACACAAAAAAGGCTTGTCACAAAAAACACATAAAATATGAAAGCCATAGTCCCGATCTAAAGTTATGGGCAAGGTTCAAGTTTTTGCAGACAAATAGACAAACAGACAGACGGACGGAAGGTTGAAAAACCAAATACCCCTTAAACTTCGTTTAAACGGGGGCATAAGTATAATATGTAATATATAATATGTAAATAACAACTTTTCCATAATCCAACATTTGTTTTTTGGGGGGTAAACGGGGAAGACGAGCACTTCTTTTTTTTTTTGTTAACCATGTTTTATGCTATAACCCCCGTTTTGTTTAGGTTTTGTTGACACTCGCAAACGACAAAACATTTTACAGGTCTTGAGCTAACCACTTTTTCTTTCCTGTGTGTCATAGGTCAGAGTCAATTTAATTTCGTACTTATTTTTACAAATTAAATCATCCCTATTTTTATGAGAAGTTTGA